CTGTGGCTGGCCGCCACTGTTACATGGGCATGCGGTGCAGAGCGATCTAATAAGGTGATAGACATTTGAATAATAGTTGAAGTTTCAGTTAAAGTGTTTTGTTGTATTGATAGTGAAATAAAGTTGAGTTTGATCATTGTTCAATGTAGTCAATTATTGGTAAACCCCCAAAAAATATGATTTCGTGTTTTTATCATTCCTGTTTTTATCATCCGGTATAAACAAGAATATATTTTCAATTTTGAGAAGTCAAAATGAGTGAAAATATATAGGTGTTCTATTAAAACAAAACAACTTTGGTAAATCACACATTTATTGAACACCCGATATATTTATTAAATATTGAAGCACTGGAAAATTGTAGCAGAGAAGCATAAAACATTATTTTCCACAATTAATATTAGGTATCGAATGAAAGTATTTTCATTATTTCCGTTCCTCATACCAGCTTGTTATAAAAATTTCTTAATGTTCACGCGATTCTTTGATGAATGTGGAGGCTCGATTGTAGCTTCTATTGGCGTATCTTCACCTTCGTGATATGAGTCATCTTCAGAGTCTTCTTCATCTTCAGAGTTTTCTTCATCTTCAGAGTCATCTTCATTTTCATTTTGGGAACCTGAAAAATATATATTTCGGATGTTACAACCAAAGTATAAGGGGATATTAAGAAGGTTTTCAAAACACGCACTCTAGATGTGTCATTGTGCTCCAAACGCAGTTACCCACGAGCTCCAACAGTTATCCACGAATACTTTCCGCTATTTTTTTATTCGTACCTTTTGAATTCATCATGTTATATTACCTAATTCAAAATTGGAATTAGGAATTAATAATGATGTGACAGAAATTTATCCTTCGTTTTCAAGAGGAAATGAGAAAAATAAAACGATTTTCAAGCTGTCATAAGATCAATGATTTTTTTGTCACCACAGTTTGGTGTTGAAATAACGGTTTAATGTTGGGATAAAATTCCAGTAATATTCAATTTCTTTTTGCATATTTTTTTATCAGATTTATTCCAGTTGCCGTGGTTCAAAATTATAAGTGAAAATAATATTCAAACAAGTTGTACAGTTTTAATTCATTTTTAATCTCTACTTTTAACAGACATTCCACTCTTAAAAGAGTTAGAATCACTAAACCTCCCGCTGGCTGACTCAAAATCGCAGACTTCTTATGAATGAACGTAATGAAGCCCTCCAAAAATTTGAAAAAACAAAATCTGTCAATGATCCTAATAGACATGAAGAATTGAAAAATTATACGTTGTCAATAGTAATAATTGAAAAGAAAACCTATCTCGTCTCTCTGTTCTGAAAAAATACCACGCAAAACCTGGAATGCTCTTTAATCTCAATGTTCATTCAAAAAAACAATATTCATTACCCAATCACCTCTCGAATCTCGATGAAATAAACAACTATTTTGCTCAATTCGTAAGTTATGGAACTCGTGTGACCTCAATGTCCTCTAAAAACGCCCACCACAGCGACTTCCCGGACGGATGCTGTATCAGCCCTATTTTGATAAGCATTTGTATAAAACTGTTCGTAATGACGCCTCTCGTCACTCTATACTCATCCTTTGTACAACACTGAATAAAGTAATTTGTCATTTTCCAATTTCTAAGTTTTTCAACTCCTTTTTAAAAAGTGTTTTCGCCAAGCCACGACGAAAACTGGCGCAGTCGTTCGGATTTTGTCAAACGAAGTTTCTATCGAAGTGATTTCGGTTCGTATCCACGATTCATTGGCAAAAAAACCACTTGGAAAGCTGAGACTTTGGAAAACCTGCCGGAAGAGGACAAGAATCGCCAACTCCGACTTTAAGAAGACCAGGGACTACGGACAAGCATCGCTGGAAATCATATTGGCAACCTAGATTTAAGAAGAAAACCAAGAAACCAGAAGAAAGACTTCACAAAGAAATGAAAACAACGATACTACTACTGTAAGTCGATTTTAAGTACAACCCAACCTATCCAATTTCCAAAAATTACCTTCACCCAATAAGTGATAATATTATATTCAGCTTTATCTCCTTGAATTCGAACTCCAATTATTCTAAATAAGAAAAACTCCAGTGTGTGCTGTGTGTATTTATTGTTCACTTTCTTAGATTATTACGACACAACATTCGTAGACTGTATGCTATTTTACTCTGCTTGAATCGCACAAATGTTATTGTTAACACCACTTGAAAATATCTAAAACCCAACAAGGGTCAGAAATATACCTACATACATAAGGGTGATGCAGTTGTTCGATAACGAAAAAACATTCGCCTATCAATACAAGACAGTAAATGTTGTCAGATTTCGAAGGTCTACACAAAATATAAAAAGTTATGATATTCTGAACAAATACGAAGAAATAGAAAGCCAAAACCTTTCTTTCTAAATGCTTTTCGCTATATTCCAAGGAATATCGTAGAAAAACAATAGATCACATTTCAAATTGTTTTCAACATGTATCAAAGAAATTTGAAAAATAATGCAACTTTTGAGAAGAAAAATGAGAAATAGCTGATTTTAAATCCTCAAGATGGAGAATTGAATCATAATCTCCTCATTTGTAAAGCAATTAAATTCGACAGGTTACTGAACACACTAAATTTTTCTTTGGGAAAAATATATTAAGTTTTGGAAAGAAATAGTTTTGGTCCTACACTTTTTCATCTGTTGCGGTTGATATTTCTAAGGCATTCGATCTAAGACATTAATTTCAGCTTCCTGCAAGAACGTTTCCTGCAAGTGCCCTTCGATATCTCTGGAATACTTTAACCATCAACGCTGGTGTTCCCCAGGGATCCATATTGTCTCCAATCATCTTTTTATTGTATATCAATGATTCATTGGAAAAAAACAAGAATCCAATATATTGCCTTGATGACGACAGTGCACTTGTCTCGTCATTCCATTTGGATTCCGGTACATCGGCTACGAAGAAACATCTTCACCGGCAGCAGGAGGTTGCATATCTTAATGAGCATCTAGGAGTGATTTCGAATTGGGGTGAAAGTAACCGGGTTCAATTCAATGCCACAAAAACCCAGGCATAGGTTTTCTTCAAGAAGATAAATGTCTCCAAATCGGATATAATAATGTCAGGTCGGACACTTCCGCATTCTGCTTCGATAAGTTTGTGAGGGTTGAAATGGACATCAATATGTCTTGGCACAATCATGTCGCTGGAATTGCAAAGGCTGCTTCTCAAAAGTTTGGAACACTGTTTCGAACCAGAAAACTGTACACACCTCAACAACTTTTGATGCTTTATAAAGCTCAGATCAGAACTTCTTTCGAGTATTCTTCTCATGTATGGAGCTCTGCCCCCAAACATACCCTGAAGATGCTGGATTCCATCCAGAAAAGAGACGCGAACATCACGTGCAACCTTAGTAGCCTGGAACATCGAAGAAAGGTTGGAGATTTGTCTCTTTCCTATAGATACTTCCACGAGGAGTGTTCAAGTGACTTGGCACATTTGATTCCACCAAGAGCGGTACATATCAGAGATACGCGACGGACTGTGGTTGCTCATCGCTTTGAGGTTCAACTTAGTATACCTCGAATTTCACTGTTCAAGGGTTCTCTCATCTAGAGAACTGCGTTCATGTGGAATAAACTTCCTGAGAATCGCTGGATCATTTCTCCAGCGATTCAAATCCAATGTAAATCGCTACTTTCGCACAGGCACTGCTCTGAGAGCGCCTTGAGGATTTTCCTGTAGGGCCTGTGTTATGTCTTTAAAAGAATACTGAAAAATACCGAAATCTTCCAAAGAAAGGAAGGAAGCAATCAATTGCAACTCTACGAATATGTTTAGATCCTGCAAAGAAGTAACTTTCAGACACAAAGTGGAAGAAAAGCCCTCTTGAAACAGTTACTTCCATATAAACGTTGAATTATAAGAAAGAAAAATACTTTCGAAACAAATAATTCCATATGAACACTGAATTATACAAAAAATAATTTTCTCTATTCAGTTTGATTTCCAACCATTCGTTATGGAATTGAATCAGATATCATTCACATGACTGCTATACAATATAGTAACTGAAAGAGATAAAGTTTTTACTTACATGCGATGTTCAATAATAATGATAATAAAATGTATTAATGAAAAGAGAGAGAGAGAATGTATACAGCAAATACAATTTTTTGCATAAATGATAAAAAAAGATAAAAAAATCATTACGATATAAAGCATCACACTTAAAAAATATATATACTTCCCGGACGGATGCTGTATCAGCCCTATTTTGATAAGCATTTGTATAACACTGTTTGTAATGACGCCTCTCGTCACTCTTTACTTATCCTTTGTACAACACTGAATAAAGTAATTTGTCATTTTCCAATTTCTAAGTTTTTCAACTCCTTTTTAAAAAGTGTTTTCGCCAAGCCAGGACGAAAACTCGTACGAAATATTTGTAATAATTGCGATGATAAAATTGAATTTTATAGCAATAATTTCGATTTGCTCCCGAAGAATCTGTGCATGAAATCTTGAATGGTATTAAAAGCCAAGCCTCAGGCGTAGATACTATTTCAACCAGAATGTTGAAACTTTGCTGCCCGTTTATAGATAAATACATTATACATATCATCAATTGTTGTTTTGAACGTTCATATTTTTAGACTGACGTCCTTGAATCACATAATCTTCTGTAGGTGTTTGAAATCGTTCGAGCATCATTAACTCTATTTGGGAAGCGCTACTGATACAGTCGCCTGGAATTTAGGGTTGTTGAGGAAGTGATTATGAGGAAGAGGAGGAGGAAGAAGAATTGTCAGGCGCAAATTCAGAGGATGCGGATGAGGAATAGGATATTTTTTGAAGAAGAGGATGAGGGAGTGGATAAGGAAGAGGATGATAGGATATACCGGTGTGAAGTTAACAGCCAAAGTCAGCAGCTCTTTTTCCGAAAATACCCGAATGGTCAGTAGTGTACCGAAATCGTGATAATGTTTTTTGGGTTCCTGATGTGCCTTTACGTGAAAGCATATAGCTATACTGTATATTCTGTATCAAGGCAAATCTCTTCGGCCTCGTCCGAGAGGGTTAAACACACCCCCAAAATGAAAAAATTCTTGAAGTATGAAGGAAATGAAAAGCCACTTTGAAATCAATGCGAATGATTATTATCATAATATTCTTTATTCGGTATGAATGAAAATCTCTTCGGCCCCGTCCAAGAGGGTTAAATACACCCCCAAAATGAAAAAAATTCTTAAAGTATGAAAGAAACGAAAAGCCACTTTGAAATCAATGCGAATGATTATTATCATTATATTCTTTACTCGGTATAAATGAAAATCTCTTCGGCCTCGTCCAAGAGGGTTAAGCACACCCCCAAATTGAAAAAATTCTTGAAGTATGAAGGAAACGAAAAGCCACTTTGAAATCAATACGAATGATTAGTATCATTATATTCTTTACTCGGTATGAATGAAAATCTCTTCGGCCCCGTCCAAGAGGGTTAAACACCCCCGAAATTAAAAAAAAATCTTGAATTATGAAGGAAACGAAAAGCCACTTTGAAATCAATACGAATGATTAGTATCATTATATTCTTTACTTGGTATAAATGAAAATCTCTTCGGCCCCGTTC